GGGAAGAATCAGAAAAGAGATCTACCGGAATGATCTTAGAACAAGACTCAGTGTGTTAACTTGCTCTGTTCTTATACTTTGTCTCTTATCACCTACTACTCTCTGCTAAGTAACTGACCAATCACACCAGTTTAATCTGTGATTAACAAACTAGGCAGTCTTTGATTTTTAGAGAAAACTAGTTGAGCAGAGTCAAATACTACCAGTATAAGATTAATATTATGAGAAATTTTATCTCTCGTTAATAGGGTTAAAAGCTTATAATGTTCAACGTCAGCTGTATGAATTCATAGCCAACTGAAACAACAGTATAATTTGCTAGCTTGCTAAAATGAAGCTTGATATAGCTACCTATTCAAGTTTGTAGGGTTCTTAAAATCAAAATGGATTATTTTTCATTCATAGATACAACTGTGAAAGAAGTGCAAGTAAGAGGATGTATAACTATGGTATTCCCAGGAGGAGAGTTTTATGGGTTATCTTTTTTCATTAAGTTAGTACTGGCGTAGTAATAGCTACCCACAGCAAAGAGCTGAACCCTCCCATCCTACTCTACCTGCACAAATACATAGCTACTACATGAAGGCTGCTAAGCCACTGTGCTGTCTGGAGGGAAGCAGCTTTCCAGTTACTTCTGTAAACTTGCTTTTTTCCTTCAGTAGTTCTATTTTCATCTTTGTCTTCAAACAGTATAAGTGCTTCTTAAGTATCAGTCTTTAGCATGCCTTCAGGATTAGGAGGCAGTTCAGTATGCTGAACTCTTCATTGTTTGATCTATATTTGATCAGGACACTCTGGTCCTGTGTTCCATCTACTTGCTGCAAATTGCTTGACTTCTGACACATTCCTCTTGAAATGGGAGTCATATGCTCTTCTATTTCCCTAAAGGGCTTTTCTACAATGGTTTGTCCTAGATTCAAGGTCTCAGGATTTCATATAAATATAGTTAATAATAAAAATACAAGGCAAATGTATATGAAGTTCAAAAGCAGATTTTTATGTATTTTCTTATTCTTCTCTTTATGAATTCCTAAGAATGCCTTGTTTTTTTAAAAAAATTATATATATATATACAGTAGTCAAAAAGATGCTATTCTGTACTATAGTTACTCAAGTTGGAGAAAGTGTTAGTATCTTAAAAGGATGGGAGATAATTCTCAGCTTGCAGTGATTTTAGTTTCTTTAGAATTGCATAAGCCACATCCACAATGGTAGACAACAAATTGTCTGTAACCTAAAAATTGGAATTGTAACCAGACATAAAGTTGTAACCACCACATTAGGGTGAAAAGTAAAGATTAAAAAATGGCAGCTAAATAAAATCATGGCAAAAAGCTAACAAAACAACAGCAAAAATGTTTATAGCATATGTTAGGATTGATAAAAATACAAGTACCAGTGCATGTTGGTGGGAGATGAAAAAGAACAAATGGCACCCATGCCAAGACCTTCAAGTTGGATTTAGGCTAGGAACAAACTAAGAGCAGAGCAAATGACAGATATAAATAGAATATGAGCTGTAGCACTCTGCTCCATTATGAGATAATTGGAAGAGATAGATAAGGGAGAAGTCTGAAGTGAACATCATGTACTTAATTTTTTTTAAGTCATTTAGAAAGGTTCTATGGAGACTGATGCTGCAATAATAATAATAATATATATAAGAAAAAGTAAGCAACCCAAAAAGGTTGCTGTAATACAAAATGAGAACCTGTCCTCACAGGAGACATTTTCTTCAGGAAAGAAGGTACAATAACAATGCCACTGTGGCCAAAGAAGCATAGAAATATACCATCATTTTTATTTTTTTTTTAATAATTTTTTTAAATAGAAGTAGATTAGGTTGAAAATCAAAGATGAAAGAAAAAACTGAGTAGGAAAGTGATATAACTTGAAGAATAAAATAACATGCAGTCCTTTGTCATAAAAGAATATGTATTCTACCTGGAGCTAGAACTGAGAGAATCCTAATAGAATAAGCCAGGTAACTTCTTACAAATGTACAAAAGCAGAGGATTTTTTGCACTTATAAAGTAGAAGTAGCCTAAGCAAGATAGAATTAATCATCATTGGTCTTGAACCCAAACAATAAGCACACTAAAATAATCAGTAGTGCTGAATAAGTATTTCAACACTTATGCACATAGTCAGTTGCAGTGCAAAGAAATAATAAATCCATATATCTCAATTCTCTCTGTGTGGTGTGACATGGTATTATATAGACAGAAGTGTGTTCATCAGCATTGACAAGAGTGACTGCTGTACATATGGCCACAGAAGTGATAAAAATGTTTTGTAGTCTAACAGGATAGACATAAACTTCAGGTATAGAGTGAGCCACTTTGGCTCTGAGGAGGGAAAACAGTAGAAACAGGCTGTCAGAATATTGTATATTCCTATATATATATATGTATATGTATGTACCAGGTACTCAGATAAATGTAGCTGCACAATACAAAGTTGCTAATGATTTACTCTTATTTTTCTGTTTTCTATTGTGGTTTTTCTATTGCTTCAATTGCAACCTAACTTGCAAGTGATAATTTTAAATGCATTTTTGTCTGCTCTATCAATTGTGTGTAAGTATATACTTATCAGTAAGCGAAGTACTTGGTATCCTCACAGGAGAACTGATAAATAAAAGACTGCCAAATAAATACTTTGAATACTCACACCGAAGAAAAGGCAAAACATCAGTTGTTAATCTGAATGAAGTTTCCTTTGGGCCCTCATCTGGAAATGCTTTCTAGATAGTTTCTGTGGTTTGTTTTGGTTTGCTTCTTTTATTTTTAAAAAACAAGAACATTGAGGATTCCAAGAGATGAGGATAACACTTTGCTTGGTATTGAGAAAAAAATAGGAAAAAAATAGTCTTTCCTATTAAGAATTTATTATTAAATATATAAAAGAAGATAAAGATTTAATGACTTCATTTGTTACAATAAACATTTGTCTTAACTGAAGAACTATTGAAAAGGGTAGGACTGGGAATGAAAAAGTAAAAAATTCAACGATTAGTTTTACAAAGACCCTCATTCCCTTCACTTGCATGCAAGTGAAATCCTGCATCATATAACGAGTTAATGAGACTATGGCTACTTACTGTCACTGTAGGCTAATATTCCATCCTAGTACCTCATAAGGCATAGAGCAGTTGTCACAAATCTGTGATTTGTGTTTATGTGTAAAAGGAAATTGGTCTATATTGATAACTTTTCAGTCTCTACTGCATGCTTCTTTTTTTTTTTTTCCCCACAAAAAGAGTGTTTATTTATATACTTTAAGGAATTACGACTCACAAACTCTGAACACAGAATAGAACAAATGAATGTCACTGGTATCTTAGATGTCGCCTGTCTGATACTGTTCTTCACAGCCAAGAAGGTACAGTGTAACTACAGATTTCATGTAAATCTCATCCTCCTTAGAGTGAGCTATTACACTTTCTATTACACATACATAAGGTATGGTTTTTAATTGGCTTTTTCTTAGATTAAGAAAACTTTAAAATATGTTTTCACAATATTTTAGCAGTTTATTCTATATTTTTTATTCTAGTTAAATAGCACTTTCACAATGTAGTGCAATGATTAAGCACTTCAGTGTAAAAGTGCTGCTCATCAGTAGATTACCTGGTAGAATTCTGTGCCCGGTATTTTATTTTTTAAATAATCTCAAAATTCCATGATGTGCTTTAGATGTTTTTACAAAATGAGTTAGCAGGTGCCTTTGGAAAAGTGGCTTGTTCAATGTAAACTATAACCTCCCAAATGAAGGCAGATATTTCAAAGTTCGGTGGCTTTAGTGAGGGTCACATTACTTAAGATTTTTTCAGCTAACTGTATTGCTGAGATGGGTTCGAATAGGTTTTGTTCTATCATCTTGTTCTTATGCTTTATATAGATCTTAAGGCAGAGCAGTTAGTAATAGGTGGAATACCTGCATACAATGAGCAGAGGTGTGTTTATGGATCAACTGTATTAACATAAGGAGGTCTGATAATGAATTGTCAAATGCCTAGGGTAATACAAGAAGGCATAACAGTACTTTCAACTCTTTCTTCTTTTCATATGAACATTTCTGTCCATGTAAAGTGGCACTGCCATTCCTAGAAAGGAAAGGAATTTCTAAACCCACAGGTCACCATAGCCCAAAGAGAAGTAGCAGCAGATTGTTAGACAACTCCAGCTCTTCAACATCGCCACTCCACAAGTCTAAGATTAGCCCATGGTGCATGTCACAAGACTGGCTCACAAAAACTCCCTTTCTACCATTTCTCAGACATCCCTACTGATATCCTCAGAGATGCTTTACTCTGAAGCATTTCTAGTGGCCCAACTCATTCTTCCTAACGTGAAATGCCATGCCAAGGTTGCATTAAACCTGTTTGAATGACCACTTGAGTTGGTTAAACAGCACAAAAATCACCTTGTTCAAGTTTTCATGAATAGTTAATTGCTACAGTTTGTCGTATTAAAAAAATTTATAATACAGCATTCATCTTACTTTGTGAGGTTTTTTGTTGTGTGTTTTTTTTTCCTCCAGACTATAATCTGTAAATTGCCAAATTAGGGGAAAAAATCAGAAGCAAAAACTAATCTGGCCCTTAAAATCCAGTGCACTTTAAATGTATGGGGGTTTTTGTGTGAGATTAGCTAAATTAATCAGTCAGTTAATTAATGTTTGTGTACTACAAAATATTTTGCTACACTGTGTGTCTGTATTGTCTTTTTTTTGTTTTTTTTTTTAATGATTACTGAGAGAACAAAACAGTAATTAAAAACCAGGTAGTAACTACAAAAACATCTTTTAAATAATAGTTCATATATCTGATTAAAACACTTGTATGAGAACTGTTGAGTCACAGCCTGAACCACTGATTGATCACCTGGGGAAAGGATCTGGTCAGCCCTGGGAGCATGGGTGAAGGAAATTCAGCTGTGTGATCAGAAGGGATGGAGACTGGCTGCACCTCTCAGAGCACATTTAAGGGCTGACTGGTAGTAGGGAAGGATCTCTTGCTGGAGATGCCCCCCCCCTCTGCCCTCTTCTGGAGTTTTCCTCCTGAGCCTAGATGTTTAGAGATGGGTGAGTGCTTTTTCTTTGTAGTTTTCTTTGTAATACCCTTCTATCATGCTAGTCTCTTTGTCAGTACATTTCCTGTATCACCATTCCTCTGTGCTGATCTGTCTGGCTGTTACACCACTAATCAAATACAAAATTGTTATACACAGTGGAAACAGAGTTTGCTTACTTTTCAAAAGGGTGCATTCAGTTAAATATAGAGGGTAGTCTTCATACCATCTTTGCTAGAGCTGGCTGTGCTTGACAGGAAGAATTGCAAGGCAGTAGTAATAAGTAACCAATGCCCTTACTTCATTTCAATGTGAGTATGGGAAACCAAACCCCTTCTGGAGTAAGGGGATGTTGTGCATTAACAGATGCTGTCACATAAAGAGCAAATATAAAGCAGTGTTCCAGTCTCAGCTTAACATTTTTCCCATTTGTATTTGTTTCAGATTTGGATTAACGCTGCTTTTATCTGTGCTTAAGTCTTTTCTAGTCACCCGGGGAAGAAAAAACAAAGTGAGGAAGACATTAAACCCCCCTAGAACAACATGGCTATTTAGAATAATACAGAGGCTGTTTTAAAATGTTTACTCCTTATTAAATATCTCAATAATCACTATATTTTGAAGGAGCTCTGTAACTTAAAGATACTTGAAATACAAGTGGCGTTAACTCTAACACTGTAAAAAGCTAAAGCACAAACTCTTTTCCTTGCAGAAAGCACTTTGACTCAGAATACAGTATCTAGGAGACAGGGGAAGACTTTCCTGGCAGGGCTAATCTATAGCTAGGACTGCTGCTCAAATCTTGTAAATTGCTCCTACAGGCATATGATCCTTGTCCAGCTGTTACGTTTCCAGTAACTAATGGCTAAACTCCCTGCCTGAGAGTTAATTTTTTTTTCTTGTTCTTAACTCAGTAGATAACTTGTCCGGCACTGACTAGTTATAACCTAATGCCTTCTTCCTCATCTACCATGGCTTGATACTCAATAAAGTCAAGCAGAATGATATGAGATTTAGTGATTGGATTTCCACCACAGATCTACAGCACTGCCTCATAGACATCTCTATATATGGAGACAGAATTTGTCCCTCAAGGGATGCTTGTCAGTAAATAGTAATATCACTGTTTTTATCTCTTAATGAGTGTTTCTGTTTTACTGATACTTCCCACCGGGAAGTTAACTGATAACATAATTAGTAGATGACTGTGTGGAGGAGGCTGGAATCTTTAAGGCATTCTGCACCAAATCTTCTGTGCTGCAGAACTTTTGCAGTAGTTGAACGATATTCATTTTAAAGGATTTAATGGACTAGAACAAGTCACTGGATAGAGTGCACGTACCATAGCCTTCAATTCTTCACTTCTAGTACACGACAAATTTCCAGTCTAGGAACTTGATGTATAGCACTAAGATGTTTAAAAAAAATCTTCATAATAAGTGTTTTGAAGCTTCAGACATTTGGGATGTTCCACATGACTCACAGGAAAATAGGAGGCAATAGAAACCAATGCTACCATTTGTTATAAAAGAATCATTCTGACAGTAATCACAGCAACACAGAAATTTACTGTTATTCTATCATAGCCAATGATTATGATTTATAATAATCATAAAATTAAGAGAGAGAACATTTGGGAAGGAACTGATCAGTTCCCCACGGAATACTGTAGTGTCTGCCAGATGTAAAGTAGTACGGATAAAGGTTCTAGATGGAAAAATAAGAGCTTTTGAGTATTAAGTGTATAATTAAGTAATAATTGAAGTACCAAGCACATTTACAAACTTGGCCAGGAGAAGACAATAAAAATTTAAAAAATTAAGAATAAAAACTCTTTCAGAGTTTTGAAGCTGAGTTACTTAAACTTTTTCTGCACCAGAAAACTTCTGCAGATGTTCACCATTGAGGTCTTTCTAGGGCAAGTACAGATATAACAAGGAACTGTTTCTCTTATCTTTTTATCTTTTCCCCAATTCCAATTTGTGCTAGATGAAGTGAACTGTAGAAATAATACATCTTTGTTTCTGCTGTTGTTGTAAGAATGATGCTAAAACACGTATAAACTGACAGAACCACCTTTTGTGGAGTATTGCTTCCTCTTCACCTCTTCCACATAAGAAAGTTCATTCCTCCTTTTACCTGTAAGATTAACTAAAAAAGGGACTTAATCCAACAATTAGTTGAGACGGAAAGTGAGTTCTGAAATACGAATTTTTCTATGAGAACTGTGCTCCTAAACCTGCTACCTGAAGTATAAATATAGACCTCTAAATGTGGCTGATGCAGTGGTTTTGAAATGTTAGTATTTTTCTTTATTTTTTAATTATTATTAACATGCAGCCATTTTTTTTCAGGTCTTTGGGCAACTCAAACTTTCCAAATACCTCTGTGCAGAGTCTCACCACAGTTGCCATGGAACTGTTTACTTTCTTAGTCAATTAGACCATTCGAATCTTAAGTGGTTTCAGTCAAAATCAAGCTTCTGAAACAGAATTTAGGATTCTAAATTGCTGAATTGCTTTGAAAAATTACTTATATTGCCAAATATATCTGGATTTGTTTTTATTTGCATAAGATCTTTTACATTGTGATCTGTGTTAAATGGAAGAACTCAATACATTTTCCAAAATGAAGAGGTCAAATTGAAGGAAATAGGGGGGTTTATTTTGAAGAAATCATAACAGAATCTTCTGAGGAGGTGCAGAATTTTCACGTGATTTGAATCGAGGGTCAGATATCTTAAGTCACTTGATTCAGAAATGGGTGAGCTTTTAAACCCTCTTAGTTGAATAATCTCAGGTGACTTCCAAAAAGTAAGACAAAGGAGGGCACTACTCCATAATATGCACTGTGCCTTCTGAGGTTTACAAGAGGAGCTGTTCCTTGAAAGTAGTGAGTCAAGTGACAGCAACAGTTCTCCAAGTGGTGTGTGGAAGTGCTGCAATGTCTGGATCTCTTTCCAGATAGGTGGTAATGTTGATTTAAGTGGTAAGCAGATTAGAAAGGAAATCTGGTTTTAATTTAATCCATTCAGTAGCCAATGTAACAAAGCTAATGCTTGCCTGCATGGTTTTATTATTAAAGTATATGCTATAGCAAAATGACTCAAATCTTCATCCTTGGTACAGGAGCAGTATTTGAAATGTGTTCCCAGTACCAGCTAGTGTCTCTTCTTACTTAGGTATAGAAAAGAAAAATGCAGAACTGAGAAATGTAAATTTTTTTCTCTGACTGTGAAATTGTAAACACTTAGTGGAACAGCATATGGAAATTATGAAATCTGATGCTTTGAGTGTGAAAGTTACAAAATGCATCAAGGTTCAGTGTTCTCTTTTATTTACTCTTTTGGTATGTGATTTTGGAGCAGCATAGTCACAGTGATTCTTTCTTGAGCATTTTACTTCTCCGTGTAACTTGGAAATCCAACAGGCAGTAAAATTTATAGTAATATAAAAAATGTTTTTGACTATAAACTCTTGTGTATAGTATAGCAGTTCAAATGACAGACTGTATTAATTCAATGCTCTAATGTGTACCCTGTGGTCTCTTCATTCATATTGCTAGAAATATTCAGTATTTATGAAATTTACATTGGTATACAAGGACCAAAGAAAATCCAACATTCTGCTTAATCTTGCAGAAACCCAGAGGGATTTGAAGTGTAAAAGATAGTAAAAACAAAATGTTATATTTTTGAGGTCAACAGAATCTCCTGCTGCACATTTTTAAAACATCCATGCATTTTTTCCTTTTCTGTCTCTAAAATATTGAGGGAAAGGAATTATAACAATAAAGGTGTTTAACACACTTATTGCCTTCAGTTTAAGGCTATACAGTGTGTTTGAGAAAGAAGACCCAGGTATGAATGTGGCTGCTAGTTATACTTGGACCTCCCTGTAGCAGAGCTGCCATATATATGTAAAATGAATGTGTGACTTGCAGGAAACACAGGCAACTTAAAAAAAAAAAAAAAAAAAAAAAAAAAAAAAAAAGATTTAGTAGCAGAAATAGGAAAAGCAGTGTGTAACATTCAAGGGTAGATGTTATTTCCACAATAAAATGACAGTGATCCATTCTGGGTACATCTTTAGCAGTAAGACAATGGGCCCAGGCACTGACACTGACATGAAATGACAAAGAATGCCCTATATACACACTGTGTGGGAGTGTTTCCTTGGACATTCTAAATGCCAGACCCCTCCTGGACGCTGCTCAAACTGTTTTGGCTACCTGGTGATAGCCAAAAGCATGCAGCAGAGATCCAAACAGGTCACTAGTGTAAGCAATCACAGTGGTGAGTAACATTCTTGACTCTACGTGTTACTTAAACACTGAACTTATGACTGACCTTACTAAGAAAGCACTCATACCAACAGAATGTAAATGCTTTTTTTTTTTTAATTATTATTTTTAACTTGGAATTCTTTTTGCTTCTATTTATCTGCTTTGGCTTTTTTTGAAGTATCTAGTGAGTACACAGATGAAACAATATATTTTCTGTTTTCCAAACAGCTTTTTTGAAAGTTGACTCGGGAGCCTGAAGTTAATATCTTTTCCAGTTCTTTGAAGCAAATTATTTGCCGGATTTAAACCACATCAGGTTTTCACTGTGATTCACTTATAAGGATATTTTCTACTTTTGTTTCTGATGCTCTTCAACTCAGCTGGTAAGACTGATAATTGATTATCAGTAGGCTTATGAAAGCTGAAACTATGTGTTATGCAACTTACTGTTACAGTTGTGCTTCAGTGAAATCTTACTGAACTGATGGGTGAATGGCTGCTGCCGAGATAATCCCCGAGTTATCCCTTTACTCCTGCTCCCTTCCCAGGCAGCCAGACTGTATTATGATGGTAAAGAAAAACACCTAAGAATATCCACTAATCAAAGAATTTACTTCAGTTTCAGTTATTTTCAAGAGCGAAGGCAAAATTTCACCAAGGGATATTAGTGATATTTACATAATTAGTGATAAAGTCAGTTATTCAGTCTTATCACCCATGGTCCAGTGGTTGGATCATTTCCATGGCCAGAACAATGAAAGCACCTGCTGCAGAAATAATTGTGTGGCACCTGTGTACTTCAGCCACTGTGCTGGGCTTTCACCTGCTCTCCCATCTGGACATATGTGAAAAGCTTCCACATATGTCCAGAGTATTCACATACGTTCCAAAGTATTTAAATATTTTACATGGCGACAGGATTGTGAGTGCCTCTACTTAAAAAATAAATAAATAAAACAACACAAAAAGATCTGAGTAAATTAATATTTTTTTTCCATATGAAATGTGAATAGCCAAATGGGGACTGAAGTTTTACTGGAAGAGCAATCCTAGTGAGAAAATGGCGTTTAGAAGTCTATCTGCAGACAGAGACAGAGGTAACAACAATTTTCCCTAATCAGAGTCCCGTTACTTTCAGCAAAGAACTTTGTGCGTGCATTTTATAAGCAAATAGAATGATTTAAAATAAATATCTGATCAAATTCTCCCCTTGAAAGGAATGAGCCTAAAACAGCAAATTAAGAGTTCAGATGTAGCAGGCCTGAGGTTTATCAATCACAGGTGGAAATCGTTGGTATCAATCTGTGCGCAGGAGTCAAAAGCAATTAGAAGAATGAAGTTTCAGTGAACTGGAAACATGCAAAAAATTATTTCCAGGATCTTGACCAATGGCTAGTAACCTCTGAAAATGAGCCATATTGATCACATGCCTTTGTGCAGCCATGTTATAAGGCTACTTCAACTGTATTATACTTTTCAGGTATTCCAGTCATAGTTAATGTCTATTCAGTTGAAGACGGTGTAAAGCACAACCTTTGGCAATATCTGTATTACGTGCTAATTAGAAGAGAATACAAGAAATGTGCTTCACCAAACACAAACCTGGGTCGCTTATGTAAGGTCACAAAGAAAAAAAAAAAAAAAAAAACATTGTCATACTCATGTAATATCAATCCTGTGGTGAACCATTTCAAACTTTGTTAAAAGTCCTCACGGGTCTTTAGCCTCTTTAATAAAGTATTGCCTGAAAGTGTCTAATATTAAAAATATATGGGCATATTTTTATACAGAGTATGCTTTTGGTATACTGGATAGTAACAAAATATCAGCAGTGGGATTGCAGTAATATTTTAGTATTAAGTGATCTCCTCTACTAGAGAACAAACAAAAACAATCTCAATATGACCATATCGTAAGATGGGCAAATAAAAACTCAGATTTTTTTTTTCTTTCTTTTTTTAAGAACGGACTTTGTTCAGATAACAGAAAGCAAGTGTCTGGAGACTGCTATGGTAACTTGCAGCACTGGAGGAGAAGAGTGCTGCTATGACAGCCTCATGCAAAGTAGAGCCAACTGCACAGCCTTCCCCCCCATGCTGCAGCTGTGTCCAGACCTAACAGAGAGCAATAGCTGAAGTTCTGGAAGGCCATTTCTGCTCTTTTCGGTCCTGGCTTCATAATTTATATTTCAGATGTGACCAGAGATGGTTATTTCATTCATGGATGTTAACAAAATAATTAAACTATTAACTATTCATATTCCACTAGCCTGTTGGTGTAGTTTTCCAATAATAATCATGCTCTGTAATGCTGTTACGCTATAGTTGTGCTATCGGTATTTTCCAAGGATTTATATATATATTTCATTAAGCAGACGTAGACTTGCAGTAGGAATTTCCATGCTATGGTTTATAGTTGCTTATACACAATTTCCAGTGTGAGATCAGCCCCATGCTTGCTCCACAGAAGGTAACGTTATGAAGTTTAGGAAAGCAAGTCAAACAGAAGTTTGAACTAGAGATGGCAGAAGTTTTAATCCACAGAGTGGTCCGAAGAGTGGCACAGAGAGTATTTTATTTTTGTTAGCCATCACAATCTTAGCTAAATAAACAAACAGTTAATAAAGAAAGGTTGTGGGCTTTTTTCCTATTCCAGTCAAAAATAAAAAGGAGGCATATTATCTACTTTTTCTAAAGTCCTCAAAGAATGCTGTCATCATAAAATTATGTGCACAGAATACGCTTATAATTTAATTAGTATTTAAAATATATAACCATGCTTTGATAAATCCAGTAACTCCCTTGCACTGAACTAATACAGCATGCAATGCCATCATTTCCAGCCACCACCATGTTTTCATGACTATCTTAAGACATCGTTCACCATTTCATAACTGTCTGGGTAAATGGAATTTGTTTAATTACTTCATTGTATACCGCACTGTCATAAAGAAAATACCAAATTTTGCTTTTATGTGAACTTGTGAGCAATGAGAGGTCTTTTACTATTATTATTTATTTAGGAAAGGAGCTAAAATTGCAAGAGTAGATCAGCATTAAAATCAAAGTTTCTGGCTGCTGAGTTCAAGCATGACTCACCCTGGCAGTACAACTGTATTGAATTAAAATCGGTTCAACATAGCATTACAGACAAGCAGGCTTTTCTGCCATTTAACCATAGGGAATTCTTACTGCAAAGCAGATCTCACGCGGTTCTGCAGGCGCTGTGAGTGAATCGCTCGCTGGCACGGCAGGTCGCGCGGTCACATAGCGGCACCGCGGTGCCGGTGATCACCAACGCTACTTAGTGCCTGGAAACGAAGCACGCCTTGGTGCACCATCGGTTTGTTGTCTTTAATCCTCGCAACGATTCACAACCAGATAAAGGCAATGGCCATCCCAGCCTGAATCGCTGCGCGGAAAGAGAACGCCGGGCGGGAGCCGCGTGTCGGACAATAGCGCCGCTCCCGGAGCAGCCGAAGCGCGGCTCGGCGCGTTCCCCCGCGGCCGGTCCCGCATCCCGCCCGCTCCTCCGGCCCACTTTCTTCCCCTGGAAAGTTTGCCCGGGCGCGGAGCCCCCAGAGCAGGGCCGCGCCTCGCCGCCCCCCGCCGGCCCGGCCCTCCGTCGCTCCGCCGCGCCGCTCACCTGTCGTCGCTCTGCCAGCCCTGGTCACCCAGCAGCAGATCTCGAAAGCGGTACCGCGGCGGCAGCGGGGGGACCTCGCTGTCCAAGTCCACCATCCTGCCCGGCGGAGGCGGACCGACCCGCGGAGCGCCGATCGCTCCCGGGCGCCGGTCCGCGGCTCCGGGGACGGAGCGGCGCGGCACGGCGGCGGTGCCGGATCGGGGCCGGCGGTCCCCGGACGCCCGAGGCGGTCGCCGCGCCCCACACGCGCCGCGGGGCCGTTACCGGCCGCCGGGTTGAAAGTTCCGCCTCGCGCGGCGGGGCGGACAGGTGGCGGGCGGGCGGCGGCGGCGCGCGCCCACCCACAACGCGCGAGCGCGCGCGCACCGCCCGCCCGCCGCGGTTGACAACAAAGAGCGGTCCAGCGCCATGCAAATATTGTTCGGAGCCGCCGCGGGCCGGCCAGCCAATAGGGCGGGCGTTCGTTAGCGTGCTCCGGTGACGGTGCGGGAACCTCTGCCTGCCGGCCAATAGAAGGGCCGTCGGCTGCGTGCAGAGTGGGGGGCTGCTCGCCCCCGGGACGCAGGAGGTGCCGCGCCGCACCTGTGCCGGGCTCCCGGAGGGCGCCTTCATGCCCCGGGCGTTGCTCGGTACCTGCACCGACAGCTGCCGCGTTCGGTACCACCTGAGGCTGCCTCGGAAGTACCTTTCCATAGGCCCCAAACGTCGAAGTAAAGATTGTTCAGTCTCTGGGTGTTTTGTTATGATAGGTCGTTCTTTCTTGTATTTCGTTCTTTTTTCACGTGCTGCCTTTAAGGATCCTCTCTGCAGACCCCACGTTGCTGAAGGCCTGCTGGTTCTGCCATAGCTTTGTCTCCTGCTCCTCTTTGTTCTAGCAGGCACGGCTTGGTGGCAGGCAGGCTCAGAGGACTACATCAGGCTCCTATCCGGATACAGGTGGGTGTCTGCAGGGCCAGCCTTCCTTATTGTTTTCATTATTGTGAAGGACACTAAATTGAGAGTAGCCATTGAGCCCCTCCGTAGAGATGCCTTGCAGAGAGATTTTTACAAAGCAGGCAGCTCAGCAATTGCCAATTTCATGAAGTTAATATGAGCAAGTGGGGGATTCTGGACCTGGCACAGAACGACCCTGGATATGTACACAGGCTTTGGGTTGAGAGGCTGGAGCGCAGCTCCAAAGAAAGGGATCTGCAGTTCTGGCTGGTATGAAAACAGAACTGAGCCAGCAGTGTGCTCTGGTGGCCAAAGGGTTCCCAGTACTGCCACCGGGTGATGGAAGGGGCTGTCCTGCTGTGCTCTATGTGGCCTCACCTCAATCATTGTGCAGTTTGGATACCACAGCATAAGAAAGACGTAGAACTATTAGAAAGCATCCAAAGGAGGGGTACAAATATGGTGAAGGGTATGGAGGACAAGGTATATGAGGAACACTGAGACCCTTGGGTTTGCTCAGCCCAGAGCAGAGGAGCTGCAAGGGAAGGCTTTCGTGGCAGCCTATAGTTCCTCGCAGGGAGTGGAGGGGGAGCACTGAGCTCTGCTTTCTGGTGACAGTGACAGGCACTGAGGGAACGGCATGGAACAGCATCAGGGTGATCAGGTGTGAGTTAGAGAAATGTTCTGTGCCGGAGAGCCTTGGGCTTGGAGCAGGCTGCCCAGGGCAGTGGGCACAGCCCCAAGTGCCAGAGTTCAAGGAGCATTTGGACGCCACTCTCAGATACGTGGACTGCTGTGCAGGCAGTTCTGTTTGGAACCAGGAGTTGGACTCGATGATCCTTGGTGGTCCCTTCCAATTCCAGCTATTCTATAGTACTGTGATACATGGCTGATGCTGTTTTGTGTCAATTCTTTTGAAATTTAAGGTGCAAACACGATAAGACATTGATTGGTTTGCACTTTCTATAATTTGAGTTTTTGTTTTGAATTTCAGGAGTGTTGGCACAGGCCCCATAAATATCGAGGGAAGCTGGGTTGTTTAGATGCACAGTTGTGCAGCTGACGTGGCTGACTCCCAACAGAAGGGGCCCACCTACCCATGAGTTTGACCTTGTCAATCTACCAAACGACTGAAGCCTCTCAAGCAGATGAAGTTCTTCCATACTTCCAGTGTAATCCATTCACAGGGATACTCAGGAAGTAGCTGAGATTCTTTAGCAGTGCCCGGAATCCATTTTTAAATGATTTCCTTTTATTACCTAGACTTCAGCTTGATGGGCCTTACAAATAGGCAGAGCTATGAAAGGGGTTATATGTATTTATTCTTTCCCTGGCTACTTATTCCCACCCCCACAAAGCCTGGAACACAAGCAGCTGAAAAATAACCTTTTTTAAAAAATTATTTTCTGGGTTAGTTTTCATTTCCATAAGTTTCCTAAAACCAAGTTCGACATATGTGCTGGCAAAAGATGCAGCTACTGCAGAGCAGTAGTGAGGCAGTATAACAAGACATAAGGTAGGGAAGACCTACTTCTTTCAGCAGTAGATCTGTGTAAGTCTAAAGTACAGTTCTGTTTTCTATGGGAACCAGCATCAATCAAATGCTTCTTACTTATATGCGTTTGTTTGCACCTTTCTTTGTCATTGTTTTCTGTAGCTTTTTAGTGTAGTCTTCAACTTATGCTTTTAGCGTTTGGCTATGTGATGACTGTAAAATTGTAGAATTTTGCTTTTTCTTTCTTTCTTTCTTTTCCCTTCCTTCTTATGTGAGCTAAAAGCTTGATTTCAAATTGAGTTGATTTAGCTCTGAAAATATTTCTGTCTTGTAGCTCCTCACTGTAGCTGTCTGTCCCACCTTCCTTACCATCTCAACTTTTGTTGTTGTTTTTCTATTCTAACTTCCACCTGTAGGTTAATTCAAGATTAAATACAAAAATCCTGTCTTACTTGTGTTTTTTCCCAAGCAAAATACTTCTCTGTGTTGGTAACTGTTCTGAGTGACATCAGTCTGTAACATTTGAGTGTTACATTTGTTGAACTCCAGCTAAGTTTCAAATGTTAGTCTTAAACGCATAAACATAAACAAAAACGCATATACTCCTTTACAGCCTCTGAATTGCACAATGAAAACCAAAGCCTAAAGATTAACTTTGTAATCAGTGACTGAAATGGGAGGCGCTAGAGGAAACACTTTAATTTTGTATGTGACCAATGAAATATAGACAACCAATATGAGAACCTGTTTGAATTCCCTGTGCCAATTGAAATAGCAAATAGTTTTTTGCTTTTTAATTTCCTATAATCACTAAAATCTAAACTGTCATATGTACCACAGTCATACTTAGTATCTAATGCCTTTGTCTACCAGCTTTGGTACCAAATAGAAATTCCTTCATTAAAATGAAGTCATACACCGTGTAACAACAGTGGTGCAGTTTTTAAGCATGGCTTTCACAGCTTGTTGCATTCAGAGTTTACTTTCGTGCTTCTCATAAGCATTTGTTAGATTAAGCAAAACAGATGCACTTATGTGGCAAAAGTTCAAAGGTAAGTTGTTCTTTGCTTTGGCTGGTATGAAAAATAACTTAAATAATGAATTACCCTGCTGTCACTCTCTTGCCAGTTTTACTGTGCTGCGTTCAGAAGTTAGAGCTCTCTAAAACTTCAAAAAAAGAAAAGTGCAGTCTTTCTCCATTAAAACACTTGTTACATGCAGCTGATTTTTCTCTTTCTCAGCTGCTTCTACAGTTGAACAAGATGTCTCTTCCTAGAAAACATTGTTCCTTCACTCTGCCCCAGTATCTTTTCATCCTGCCAAAACTTCCTTGTTCTCTGTATTTGTTCCTCCACTTGAGGCAGTGGGAAATCTGTCTGCTATAATGACTTGCTACAGAAGTAAAACGAGGCTTAGGCTAGCTACAGTCCTTTTCTGAAGTCTATAAATCATCAAATGAGTCAAATGGGTCAAATGAGAAATTAATGGTGTGTCTACTGTCTCTTCTAACTGCCTCATTAATTTTTCCACCCTAATTGATTACTCTAGCATTTGTTTTCATACTTGAGGAGCTAAGTAGAAATAGAAGCTGTAACACTTTTTCTACCATGGAAATGCATTTCAAAATGGCATTAGCTGACCCGGTAAACTAGCAACCGGGTTAATAGTTGAGCAGAGCAAACAGAAAGCAAACTCATAACTGAAACTATAGTCGTGCAATCTATAAAGAAGCTTAATTTTATTCTCCTAAGTAATATAAACTGTTTGCATTATAAAATAACTGTTTTCTTTTATGTCTGACAGCATGTGGCCTGTTCTGTCTGAAATGCTCTTAGGTACATAAAATTGGACAGAAATGGGATTTAAGTTAGCTGAATTCAATGTTTTGATTAGTGACACAAAACACCGGGGGATGTCTTGAAGCTGAAGAGACACTGAGTCTTTTGCTTGGAGGCAAACGCTCTTATACACAAGCTGTTGTACTGGGTCACTACACTCAAGAGAAGATTTCCTTCTGCAATGCTTATGTGTTAAAGAAAAGCTGTGAGCTGCTCTCAGTTCTTTCAGGGAACAAATGTAGGTTCATACTCTCAAGGAATTATTTTGGCCCTGAGGAGTGTCACAAGCATCTGTGGCACTGAATTGAGGACTGAAAATAGACTTTAATGAATGTGTCCTTAAAAAGAGAGGAAAAAAAAAAATAAAAAAATAAAGTAACTGGCTAGATACAGGAGAGTAAGTCTTCCCAAGCACTTAACTGAAGTTTAAGGGAGGCTGAGGGAGAAAGAACTGGGCTCCTGAATGTTTTGCTAGTGATTATGTAGAAATCTTGGGTCATACTGAGGTACAGAAAGAATAAAATTTTCAAGCTTCCTGTTTATGTTACTCATATATCTGGTGGAGTGTAGGTAAAACATCAGCTGAAACAATGCAAATTACTAGGTTGATCTGAAAGTAATGCCTCATATTTATTTCCATGGAAACTATAAGGAATACAAAAAGCACAATAGTACTGTTTAATAGATCAAATTCTCAGCTTTAAAACAAAATTTTTCAGCAAAGTCACCACCATTACCTATGCATTTTCTTCAGTGATGAACAAGAGTCTGTATGCTGCACTTGCAAAAATCTGCACAAGAGGAGGTGACCCACTGTTTCACAGCTGCTATGACAGCGTTTCTGCTAGGAAAATGTTGCCCACGCAGTCCCTCTTTCATTGTCCTGAACAGATGGAAGTCAGAAGGTGCCAAATCTGGACTTCATGGGGGATTT